CTGGACCAAATTTCAAACAAAGAAAGAAAGAAAGAAATAATTAATTAATAAAACAAATAAATAAAATAATAATAATAATATACTAATTAAAAACTATATATTATATTTTTAAAAAATGTTTTCAAAACTATATATTATATAGTTTTCAAAATGTTTTAAAAATATTATATAAGTTTTCAAAAAATGTTTTTAAAACTATATATTATATAATTTTTCAAAAAATGTTTTTAAAATTATATACTATATAATTTTTCCAAAAATGTTTTTAAAACTATATATTATATAATCTTTCAAAAAAAAATTTAAAACTATATATTATATAATTTTTCAAAAATATTTTAAAAAACTATATACTATATAAGTTTTCAAAATGTTTTAAAAACTATATAATATATAAATGTTTTCAAAATGTTTTCAAAACCTATATATTATATATATTTTAAAAATGTTTCCAAAAACTATATAATATATAAATTTTTGGAAATCGTTTTCTAAAAATTATATATTATATTTTGTCAAAAACATTTTCACAAACTATATTACTATATATACACATATATATATATATATATATTATATAACAAAATAACTCCGGGCGAAAATGAGTGTCTACAATTAGAATCGACCCAAATCGAAGATACAAATACATTTTTAAACAAACTAGATTGTACTTCAATGTATACATGCATACCTTTACAACTACGTAGGAGTAACCAACAACCTTTAGTGCCTTCCCCTCGGAGTCTATCTTACATAACCGTATGCAAAGATGAAGCATAATCAACATTCACAACAATGTTAGTCAATTTGGATTTGCCACTAAAAATAATTCAAACGTAAACAAGCAATGAAATGTGACTTACACCGGCCCACTCGCCGAGAGTTTTAGAACTCGGGGCATGTAGCAATTTAACATTGTGATCGGCACAAAGCACCTTGACCAACTTAACATAATCAGGTTGGTCGCAGTCGTTAGCTATAATGCAAAGGTGCGCATTGTGCTTTTCGATCGCCTTGGCAGCTTCGTGTAAGTCGCCTGCAAGACCACCGTGAGCTTGCGACTTCCTCACCACAAGGGGCAAGGCCGAGCTGATGTCCAGTCACCAGTGGCTCACCCAGAACGGGTGTCGCCTCAGATTGGGCGACCGTAACTTCTTCCCTACAAGAGAAACCGACACGAATATCACATAAATACATATAAAGAATAAATCTTTCAAAGAATTAACCAATCTGGAACAACAAAAACAATTCAAAGAAATCCATATTAACATGCAATAAATACCTTAGTAATTTACTTCACACTAAAGCAAACTAAACCCAGGTTCTATATAATTAGAATGCAAACAATTTGAATTCGCATGAAGAAATCAAAACAAAGCCAAGAACAAGATCGATTTTTTTCTTTAGACACCATCGATATACAATAAGCACGGTCTTTTTTTTCTTTTTTTTGGATAAGTAGAATTTTATTACCCAAATAGAAATGGTTCATCATACAATTGTCATCCCAATTGGGAGTATAAACACATATTTACAAGAAGTTAGTCTATACCCCAGTAATTACAAAGTCTAGAATTAACATAGTCTAGTCTATTAAACCCCTTGTCATTGATTTTGATTCAAACAAGCTCCTTTATAGCCTTGAGTAGTTGGTCTGCTGTTCTTGTTCCTCTACTGAAAATTATTCTGTTTCTCTCATCCCAAATGAAGTATATGAAAGCAGTCCAGGCGATCCACATTACAGTAGAAAGTAGAGACTTGCCCTTCCATGTTTAAGCAGCCCATTGAAGCCTTGAATCCCAAGACCTGTGAGTATCTCTCATGCTAGATAGATTCATAATAGAATTCCATAGTGAAGTAGCATAAATACAGTCAACAAAAAAATGATTTCTAGATTCATGGTCCTCATTGCATAGAATACAAAGACTTTCAGACGCAATACCCATTCTAATAAGCCTATCTCGAGTAGGAAGACGATCCAGAATTGCCATCCATGAGATAATGCTTAGCTTTGGGATGTGAAGTGGAAACCAAATCACCTTTTGCTAGGAAACCTTATCTCTATGAACTCTTATATTTTCCCATAGTTCTTTAGTATTCGTGGAACCAATAGCTAAAATTGAAAAGGCTTCACTCTTTATTTTCATTAGTTTTCTGATGGTCCAGCTGTGGGAAGAATTAACATTAATGTCGTTTAGATCATTATTTTTAATAACATAGCAGTGAATCCATGCAACCCAAAGAGAGCCCTCTCCAACCATTATTTTCGTATGAGTTGTAACATGCAAGCTTTATTCCAGGTATGAATGTTCTTCAACCCGAGACATTTTTCAGATTTGGGACAGCAAAGTCTATCCCAGCTAATCCTAGCACCTTTAGCAGCTGTATCATTTCCTTTCCAAAGAAAACGAGAGAAAAGTTGTTCTAGACGATTGATAACTTTCTGAGGTAGGATAAATTGCCTATTCCAGAAGTTAACAACGTTGTATAGAACATTTTTAATAAGCTCAAGACGTCCAGCATAGCTTAAAAGTTTACCAGACCAATGATGAAGCCTACGTTTAATATTATCGTAGAGAGGTAGATAGTCTTTTTCAGTAAGCTTCCGAGTAACTAGAGGAACTCCAAGGTACCTAATAGGCAGGAAACCTTGTTTGAAGTTAGTGACAGATTTAATAGAGTCCAGGGTTCTATCCGGAATACATGCCGCATAAAATTCTGTTTTATTAACATTGAGGTTCAGACCAGATAAAACATAGAAATGGTTTAAAACACCTGTAACTCCAACAATAGATTCAAGATTTCCTTTGCAAAAGATTAAGAGGTCATCAGCAAAAGACAAGTGAGTAATACCAAGTTTTTTGCACTTAGGGTGGTATTCAAAAATACCTCTAGTAGCAGCAAGATTGAGAATTTTAGAGAGGATATTCATAGCTATCACAAAAAGGATTAGAGATAATGGGTCTCCTTGTCTAATACCTCTCTGACCCTTGAAGTACCCTATTAGACTACCATTAAAAGAAATAGAATATCTAGCTTCTTTGAAGGAAGATTCAATTCATTTTGTGAAAATGAGAGGTAGTCCTATGGCTCTAAGAATGGAGGAGATGAAATCCCAGTTTAGGGAATCAAAGGCTTTTTGTAAGTCAATTTTAAGGGCACATCTTGGTGAAATATTCTTTCTACCATAACTTTTTGACTAATTCTTGAGCAAGGAGGGTGTTTTCAATGATAGATCTACCTCTCACGAAAGCGGTTTGATTGAGGGATATAAGGTCAGACATCAGAGATTTATTCTTTTGACAAGGATTTTAGTAATTGTTTTGTAGACAACAGAACAACAAGAGATAGGTCTAAAGTCCCTAACTTTGCTAGGATTCTGGGTTTTAGAAATCAAGGTAATGATGGTGGAATTAAAAGCAGGATGGATATAAGACTCTTGAAAGAAGTATTTGACAGCATCAACAAAATCGTCCCCTATAGCAGACCAAGAGTGTTTGAAAAAAAGAGGAGTGAAACCATCAGGGCCTGGGGCTTTGTCATTCCCTTGGTTAAATAAAGCTTCTTTGATTTCATCAGTAGTGACATTTTTAATCAGATCAGCAGTAACCTCAGTAGGCAGATGGATTTGTAGCAAGTTTTTCAAGGTAGAAGGGTCAGGAGGTTGAACTTTAGGATCAATGTCACGTAGTTGATGATAGAAGAATTCAATTATTTCATTAGCCATTTCATCATAAGTCTCTAGCCTTTTACCCTCATTCTTAATAAGAATCCTTATGGTGTCTCTTTTATTTTTAGAGGCTAAGGCAGAATGAAAACGTTTGGTGCATTTATCTCCATCTTTGATCCATTGGACTTTCGCTTTTTGTTTAAGGAACAGATACTCGGTTTCCTCTAAATCATTCAGCTCCTTTTGAACATTCAATTCTTTATCTAAATAATTGTTTCCATTAAGAGTTGAAATCTGAATTTGTTCCAGTTCTCGCTTTGTAAGCCTTACCCTAGCAGAGATATCACTATAGTTATCCTTGTTAAGCTTCTACAAGCAAAGTTTTAGGCGTTTCAACTTGAGAAATAATTTCATCATAGGGTTTTCTTGAGAAGGTTGCTACCAGGAATGGAGGACATGTTCAAGGAAATTATGGTGCTTAGACTAGAAGTTGAAAATTTTAAAAGGCTTAGGCCTATTTATTTGAATCTCTTTATTGATTCAGGCAAGAGCCATACAATGATCTGAAGGGCCTGGGGCTATAAATTCTACAAAAGAATTCTGAAAAGAAGTAGCCCAAAGGGTGTTAATCAACACTCTATCTAGCATCCTAGCAAGATACGTATCTTTTTGTTTATTGCTCCAAGTATAGGTAGGGCCAAAGAAAGGGTGATCATAAAGAGAAAGATCTTGAACCAATTCTTGAAAGTCAGTCATTTCAGATGATGAATATGGTCCGAGAATAAGAGAATCAAAGCTTTCTTTATGGTGAAGATATGTATTAAAGTCACCTCCCCAAATCCAAGGGAGAGACCCAAACCTAGTATTAAGGTTTTTGAGGTGTTGCCAAAGAAATCTTCTAGAAGAACCATTGTTACTACCGTAGATAGCAGTGATAATAAAATGGGTGTTATTAAAAAGACATTTAGCAATAATGCTTTGATCAGTAGAATGGAAGAGAGAAATATCATACCTTTTTTCTAAAGAAGCCATATTCTACCATTAATAGCAGAATCATAGTTAGTGAGAACATTCCATCTCTCTAAAGTAGTATTGAAGATTTTTGTGGAATTTTTGGGTTTAACTCGAGTTTCTAACAGACAAAGAACATAAACTTTGAAGAGATTAGCACGGTTCAGAACTTTTTTTGTTTTGAGGATTATTGAATCCCATTATATTCCAAAAACAAATTATCATTGGGAAATTGAGGAGGATGAACCCTCTGAATTACCTTCTGAGGTACGTTTGACTTTTAGGATTTATTCTTTCTTTTTTGACTTTAGCTCTTTGATTAATTTAGCAACCCCAGCAACACTGGCAGCTCGTTTAATGGAGAATTTTCTTCAACTGTTGAGAGAATTTCGAACCTATTTGCTGAGCCTCTTAAAGCTGATTTAGCTTTAATATTTAAAGGCCTGCCTCTTCCTCTTTTAGGATTTGAAGGAGTATCAATAGAATTTGGTGCAGATTCATGAGTTTGTGTATTATCATCATTAACTAATTCTACACCAAGAGGAAGAGTTTGAGACTTGTTATCTTCATTCAAAATATTATGAAGATGATTAGAGGATTCGGCATGAACATGTTGCTCCTTTGGGAAAGGTTCTGGTTCTTTTATTGAATTATTATCAGCAGAATTAACAGTTTCCTTTGAGGAGGAAGAGTCAGGCAGAGAGACCTTCAAGGATTCTAAAGTTTCAGTTTTTTGAATAGCATTATCAATGTGATGTGTCTTTTTTCTCCAGATTTTAAGTTGTGGAGGGGCAATATTTGTTTTTTAATGCATTCTTTATCAGAATGGCCAAATGTACTACATTTCTGCATCTATAAGGGAACCAAGGAACTTCGACAAAGATTTTGGAAGTTTTGCCATTTGCCAGAATAACTTCAACAGTTTCTGGTATGTCTTCCTTAGCTCCTATTTCGATACAAACCTTAGCATATTCTAGCCTAGTTTTCGATGCGGTAATTGAGTCCATTGTTAATGGAACTCCTAGAGCACTGACTATGTAACTAAGACCTTCTCTTGAGTATAGTTCTAAGGGAACATTATATAAATGAATCCATAGAGGCAATCTAGAGAGATCAAAGTTCAGTCTTTGCATATTGGGTTCCCACTTTTGAAGGATTAAAGGTTTGTTGAGTATATGCCACGAACCATTCTCAAGAACTCAATCCCTAGTAACATCAGAATTGAAGGTGAAAATATAGAGATTTTTACCTACGAGGCTTACCTGCGCGCGAGCACCTGTCGAAGGCTGGTTCCAGAGTTTGTTGATGGTTCGTTGGAGGGAGATGAAATTCGGAGCAGTACCTAAGAACTGACCCACCAGAGAATTTTTCCACTCAGTCGTACCAGCCTCTAGGACCTCAAGGGGAGGTTGAACGATTAGGGATTTTTCGCTCTTATCTGGTGGAAAATAGTCAAGTTCATGTCCTGCTTGACACCTGAATAGTTTACGACAATCCATTGCTCGATGGGTGAAGGAATGGAAATTGCTAGGCGGAAGAATCGCACTGGAAAACGGACTGAATCGCCGGCGACGGGACGAGAATCGTTGGGTCTGATAGACCTGCTATCGTGCGCCCGGAGAGAATCGTATCGTGCGCTTCAACGATCTTGATACCACACATAGGAATAGATTTTCACTTACCCTGGCATTTTTTTTCTAGCTGAACTAATAGTAAAAGCAAAGGGTAAAAAAGGGAAGTGAAGAATATGAGAGCGACGAATCCTGAAAAGAGCGGAGGAATGGAAAAGGGTTCAGCGAAAGTGAAAGACTATATAAATGTAGCCCTATTTTTCAATATTTTTAACGGGTCAATTGGGCTGATATTATCCTCTCTTTTGTTTGGGTTTTATGGCTGATGATCCATTTTTCGCTATCAGACTGGATTTACAAAGCCCAGTTCAGTTGAAGTTCTTTAAGTTGAATTTAGTGCCGGCCATCTTTATTGTCCAGGACTCAAGCGTCGTCGTGGGGAGTGAAGTCCAGAGGGGTATGAGCTTTTGTTTGTATTCCACTTTCTTGCAATACGGAAATGGCTGAATTACCACTCTTTAACCCTTTTTGTAGTTAACCATCATAAAAGGCTAAGATGGGTGGAGATTGGAGGGTCAACAAAGGTTCTGTCATTAGTTTAAGAATGAGGCTTTGCTCTCAGTGGAGGTGGTTGGTTTTATAAAGGGTGGTTGCTCCCCTCTTCTGATTGATAAGCGAAGCCTATGATTTCACTTTCACTCAACGATATTTATCTACAACAGCGCTTTGTCTCTCTATGTCTCTGTGCTCAATTATTCGGCTTTTTATTCAAATATCACCCCTAATCATCGCTTCTGGATCTCACTCTGATATACTGTTTCTTCTTCTCTTCTTCTTCTTCATTCGGAAACCCCAATGCAATGAGGCAATGATGATTTTTTTTTTGTTATCAAAGTTCAGACTTTTGAAGAAAAAAAGGTAGTTGCTTGGCGAGGCAACTCTTGTTTGTTGCAGCCACCGGCTTTGTTTCTTTTGCCTGTCTGAAAAAAGGCAAATCTGAGCCTCCCTTTCCTCCCATATCTCATTTTTCTTCTCTTCAGGTTCTATGATTGGTTGAGCTTTGGCTGGAGGAAAATACCAGTACCAATCATATCTCATTGGGAATCTTTATCATAATCATTTGAAAGTTCTAAATTTTATGGTGAAATGGGTATGATTTTGTGTATAGTTGTGTAAAGCATGGACTTTTATAGTGTGATTTTACTATCAGAAGGCATCCCTTGTAAAGGAGAGATGGAAAGTAACATGCCAGAATCGATTCTTGGTTGTTGTCAAAAATTGATTTTGATTAGCTATTTGTTTATTAGAGTGAAGACAAGTTAAGGAATACCCCATTTGGAAAACGAAAGATCTCGATCCGCCATTGTTACTAATTTTGCATTTGGAGCTTTGTTAATAGTTGTGTTACCACAGTTCTCGCAGAGTAATAAGATGGGTTAATGTTTAAATCTATTCGTTGTTACATTCATGTTTCTTCAGTTTGAGACTTTGATCTATAGATGTAATAACCATGTTCCTCTTCCCCTCAAGGATGCTTCAAAAGAATAGTTCAAACTTCAAAGTCATTGACAATGTTCAATGGTTAAGCATGACAAGTCTAGCCTGCAAAAGATAATAGAAACAGGAGAAATCCTCAAAATGGAACTTCAGAAGATGAAAAATCTAATGGAAAAGAGTAAAATATTTCAATGAAAATAACATAATAAAAGAGCGAAAGGACAAGCTTTTGTTTGTAGCCACGTTAGTTTCACCTTCATTTACCAAGGAAATGACTCTTTTATACCTCCTTTTTTTTTTGCAGTTTCACACATCTATAAGGCAAGTGGGGAGAGGCTTAAGGGTTTTCAAAGGCTCATTAGTTTAAGAATGAGGGTTTGCTCTCAGTGGAGGTGGCTGGTTTTGTGAAGGGCGGTTGCTCCTCTCCTCTGATTGATAAGCGAAGCCTATGATTTCACTTTCACTTACAATAGATTATCTACAACCACCCTTTGTCTCTCTTTGTCTCTATACTCATTTCATACATACAACAATTTACTCACATTTTTCCTCGTTTCTGTTTCCCAGTATCTGGTTATCTGCTTGTTCTCTTCTTCTTCTTCACTCGAAAGCACAGACACAGTGAGGCAATGATGATTGTTTTTTGGGTTATTAAAGTTCAGACTTTTGAAGAAAAAATGCCCGTTGCTTGGCGGGGCAACTCTTGTTTGTTGCAGCCACCGACTTTGTTTTCTTTACCTGCATGGACTTTTATAATGTGATTTTGCTGTCATGCAATACCCATTGTAAAGGAGAGATCCAGAGTAATGTACCATAATTGATCCTTGGTTGTTTGTTAAAATTTGATTTTGGTTAGCTATTTGTTTAACAGAGTGGAGACTAGCGAAGACACCAAATTCCGTCCATTGCTATTATGTTAAATAATTTTTTACGTATTTACAAACTATATTATATAATATTTATTTATTTATTTATTTATTTGGGTTTTATTACATGATACAGGCCCAATGAACTACAAGCCCAGCAGAATACTCTGGTCCAACCCAGAACCAAAACACGAAACAATGGACCCAAGACCACTCTCAACCCGAATGCAGACCCGTGAACTGGCCCGCTGGAGCATCCGACCCGAGCTGGTGCTAGGATTTCCAGAACCCTTGTTTTTCATTTGCGTCGCTCCACTCCAACCGTCGGATCAAAGGATGATCCCAGGGCCCAGATTAACCCTAGCTTGTTCATCCCTCAGCGCCGCATGGAACATCCCATACCCGAATTTCACGGCCACACGTCTTACCTCCAACAACCCTGCATCCTCCGGCAGAAGGAATATCAACATCAAGAAACCACAAGCAACCAACTAGCGTTAGAATCCTAGTTCAAATAGGATACTAAAAATAGGATTTTTTTTCAGATTATAAATAATCCTTGTAACACATGATTTAGGGACTATGATTAGGCAAAAAAAAACCCCACAATACACACGAAAAAGCCGAAAGAAATACAAGCAAATCGAAACGTTTGTACGGTTCAAAGAGAAATAAAAGAGCTATTTTTACCTATATTGCTTCGGTTCTCGCTTGCATGTGGCTTGTCTCTATTCTTTTTCCTTTTTTTTTTGCTTCGAAAAAGTCGAGGAACGGGGGGCGTACACGAGATCTTCATTCGTAGATCTAGCCCCTGAGGTTTATGTTTTTTAAAAAACATTTTGATTTTTGGAAGCAAAATTTAAAAAGCTTTCAATTTTTTATAAAATAAAATAAAAATAAAATTTTCGAGGCGGCGCATGGTGGTTGGATTCTGGAATCTCGCCGTGTTCTTCATATATGAAGAACATGCGAGAGAGAATTGAAATGAGGAAGGGGTGTTTTGGCGTGTGAAGAAGAGTAAACGGATCAACCCACGACCCGACCCGCAACACGCACGACTCGCATGTTTCTAAAATAAAGTGGGTGAATTGTGTTTTCGGTCCCTCTGAGTTTTCTGGTACTTTTGTTTGCCCCCAAAATCCAATTTTTGCTTTAAAATCCTCCTAATTTGGCCATCTAATTTGTTTCATTTTCGATTTAAGTTCATTATATTTATATTTTAAATATTTTTATTTTCTTTTATTTAATATTTTTATTTATATATATATATACATTTTTTTCTTCATTTTTTATTATTTTTCTTTTATGTTTTTCTTTTTGTTTTTTTACATCTTATTATATATATATTTTCTATCATATTCCTTTTTTATTTTTATTTTTTATTTTATTTTATTCTTATCTTCTTTATTTTTTTCCTTTTATATTCATTTAATTTATCTATTTATTTTTTATTTTACTCGTGGTTTTATTTATTTATTTAATATATGTATTTTCTTCATTATTTTATTTATTTTCTTTATTTTCATTTGTTTTACATTTTCGTTTCTCGTATCTTCTTTATAGTTATTCTGTTTGTTTTATCTTTACTTTATTGCTCTTATCTCACCTTTTTATTTATTTATTTATTTTCTTTGTTTTAACTCTTTTTTTTATTATTTTATTTATTTATCTAACACGTTCCTTGGCCATAAGGGTACACTTTTAAAATCAATTAGAGGTAAGTAGTTCAGATTATATTTTTTTACCATTTAATTTAAACTTTCAATTTTCTTAACTTAAGACAACTGGAAATTAAGTAGTACCGAAAGGGCAGTTCAAGAGTGCTAACCATTCCTTGACTGTAACCGACTCCCGAATCCGGCACATCTTAGGTAAGACGCAGATCAGGTAAGAAATAAGGTGTCCGATCAACCCATTTGTTTTAAAATAAATGATCGGTGGCGACTCCAATTCGCTTAATCTAAGTCGAAGCCCAACTCCGAGGCTCACCCGAAAGACGGTTTCGATAACTAGGCACACCCCATTTTGGGGAATGTGAGATATTGATCAGACTTTGTTGCTAATTTTTTTTTATTTCCATCACTTGTGCTTATGACCAAGAAGTAAGCTTAAGTAGGTGATAAATTCACGAAAGAACTATGTTGCCCATTTTCTGTAGTGATTTTGGTGGAGATATAATGAACAATCTAATTGGATTTTACTTTGAGGGCTCTGAAATGGTCTTCAATTTTTGTACCAGTCCATAGAGATATCACATGCATGTTACGCTTTGTCTATTTCATCTTGTTTAGAATAAATCACACTATTTTATTGAAATAAAGAATGAATCAGGGTAATGTTCATGAGTTGTACATGACTTGCTATCGAACTGTCGATCATGGGATATTTGAAATGCTGATGAACCATCTTCTTGCCTTTTATTATGCTTTCCTGCTAGTTACAAAGGCAATGCCTGTAAAATAATACCTTTGTGCTCTTTTTGTTACTCTTTCACGGGGTTGGCTAACCTCTGGGTCACAGGTTAGTTTATTTTAACAACTCAAATCGGTCTTTATGACCTATCTCTTTATATCCATCCTTTTAATTAATCGAAACATTTCCCTTTACTCATTTGGTGAAAACATTATCAGGTATGCATTTGATTATGGTGAATGCAGATTGTGGAGTCAATGACTGATCTCACGCATTGCCCTCTATTCATTCGGTGAAAACTTGATCGTGTATGCATCATACTGATTATGGTGAATGCAGAGACTGTGGAAGCAATGAATTCTGGTCTCGAGTGAGCGAGGTAGAAGCAATTCGTGGACTTTCTGAAACATGAACATCACCTTTTCCGGAGATATGAGGGTGGCTTCCGGCGGAAAAATGGATAGCAGCCACTGAAATCTGCCAAGAGGAGGCAAGAAAGCGAGCCTTGCCGACTGATCGAATGGAATTTTGTAAATGTTGATAGTTTTTGTAACCTAGAACCCGGACCAACAAGTATATATATGATCTTCTGGGATAAACTCTGTTCGTGTGTATACATTGTTCGGAACAAAAATCTGAATTCTAGATCAAACAAACTACATAATCTATAATATGTACCATTTTGCCATCTCTGGGAAACAGATTAAGCTGTAAAACTAAAATGAACCATTTTTGGTTTGGTTTCTTTCTCAAAAGATTACAACTTCGTTCCAAGTTCACTGCTTTCAATCCAAGCAAGATATAGATGATAGAAACAGGAAAAATCGTTGAAAGGGAAACTTCCGAAGCTGAAAATTCCAAGGAAAATAGTAAATATTTAGCTAAAAAAACTGTTTCCAATTGTCACTGTCTTTTGTCGCTCTCGTATTACATAAATGGATTATATCACAAATAAATATTTAAAGTGTATTCTATTTTTTATTTAAGTACTTAAAGTATTTCTAATCAAAATAAATATTTAAAGTTATCTTTTTTAGTCAAAATAGAGGTAATTTGACCAAAAACTCACCATATTAAAAAAATACTACCTATCAAACATCATTTCCTAATTATTTCTCGGTCTAATACCTAAGAGAAGGAGGCGCGTTCGGTGAAACGCGCTTTAAAAGTAAGGCGTGGTTGGTAGGAAGCGCCTTAACCGAAAACCGTTAACACCAAATAAAACTGTCGATATCCTTGGAAGGAGCATTCCCAGGGGCGCGCCTTACCGGGGTTTTCTGACAACCCTGGAAGGCGTATCCCATAGGGCGCGCCTTTCCTCTCCCACCCCAATTCCCCACCAAATTCTCCCGTCTACCCGTCAAATTCTCCCATCTATTTCCCAACAGGTTGCCTATATAAACCCCTTCCCCCAACTCACATAAATCACACATAAATATCTCTCATTCCTATCAATTTTCAATCTAGTAAGGTATAATTATTTTTATAATTTATTTTTTATTCATTAAAATTTTTATTATTAAATTAATTAATTATTTTATTATTATTTTACTTTAGTTTTTATTTTTTATTTGATTATTTAATTGTAAACTTATTTAGTTAATATTTATTAATTACAGTTAAAAACGGAAGGTGCATGTTGCGATTGGATGTTGATCATATTTCGAGTCATTTTGCTGATACGGTAAGAATACGAAACTATATTCTTTTTAAATTTATGAATATTATGAAATCGATTATATATTATTTAAATTATTATAATTTATTTATTTGAATTTATTTAAATAATTTGAAATAGTAGTTCAAATTTTAATGACTAGAATTTATTTGTTAGGAAAATGATTGTATATTAGAAATTTTTATTCGCAACAAGAAGATGGAAACATCGAGGCGTATTTGGCCATATTTGTTTAAGGCTGGATTCAGTTACTTAGCAAAAATTGAAGAAGGTTGTAAACTTGAGACCGCCCTAATTTATGCACTAATTGAGAGATGGAGGCTAGAGACACACACATTCCATCTACCATGTGAGAAGTGTACCATTACACTAGAGGATGTTTTAATGCAATTGGGGCTTTTAGTCGATGGAACTGCCATTTGTGGTGTGGCAGATGATGATTGGGGGTTTATGCAGGGAGTATCTTCGAAGTTGTTTGCCTAGTTTCAACGGTGGTCGAATGACATTAGGGTGGCTGAAAAGTGAATTTAAAGAGTTGCACGAAAATTGTTCGGAGGACGAGGCAAAAGAATTTTCCCGAGCATATATACTACAACTCATTGGAGGTATATTGATGCCTGAAAATCTCGGAACCATGTCCATTTTATATGGTTGAGGCACATGATCGATTTTGAAGTAGCTGACACATTGAGTTGGGGGTCTGCAGTGTTGGTATTTTTGTTTAGAGAAATGTGTCGGGCTACAAATTATAAGAAGATTGTTATTGGTATTGTCTCATGCTT